CGATTAGTGCGATCGAGGCAGGTGGCACATGCAAGTTGTTCGTCATAGAAAACAGCGGAGAATACTAAATGGAGACCAGTCGTGAGCCGCACGCTGAATTAATCCGCGCGATCGTCGCTCTCGGTTGGCGAACAGGATAAATATTCGTTTTTTTTACCAAGTAATTTGAAACACGGAAAACGCGATTCTTGCGATACTGACTGCAAACCATTGAACGACTGTTTTGAAAGGTTCGAAAGATTTTATTAAGCAAGAGATTTATTGTTTAAGCCTCTAACTGGATTAGCTTCGAGTTCATGCAAATTAAGAAGACTGAAAAAGGTAAAAAAATATTGATTTTGTTGCATTTTTACAAACATTTTCTAGGTTCAACTCTAAAATTTTACATTTTAAAATTTCAAAAATTACAGCCGAATATCGAACGGCGCATGGAGACAAAATCAGATGACAATATGCGTTCCCGATTTTGTTTTACTATTTAAACTAGGGCTGTTACTTTTTACTTCGAATATTCGAAGCTTCGAAATTAATTTTAAACTTCGAAACTTCGAAGGCACCTTAAACTTCGAAGCTTCGAAAGAATTCGAAGATTTTAATGTCGAAGCTTCGAAGCAAATCACCAGCCCTAATTTAAACGTGCTACACGATATGACTGGCAGCAACTGGCAACTGTCTTTTTTTTTTATTATGTCCAAGTGAATTTTTTTTTGGTATTTTTGGTAATACATAAAGGAGTTTTGTAATTTTCGTGACATCGCTCACATGCAGATAGAGCGAACTAATTCGAGTCGGAAAATTCTGCCATTTTCAATTTTCACGGACTATAAACATTTGTGATAAGGAAGATGAAGATCCATTTTTATGATACCGACATTGGCGCACAAAAATTGGTTCACAACAAAGCAAAAGGAACAAACAGAAAGAAAATTAATAAAGAGGATATAGTTTTAAAAAGTTGTTTGCTTTTACAACCTAGACAGTTTATAAATACTGTTTATAAGTATAAACAATATGGAAATTGTATTAAAACATTAAAACCCTTTGTGTCACAAATTTTTGTATCAAACCAATTTTTTTGATACGGGTACTTTGTACCCGTTGATTCTTCGGGTCGCTAATTCCGAATCAGAAGTCAAAATTTTAAAAATTTTAAAATTCAAATTTCGTTTTGTAATCCATCATACCACTTTCGTCACGTTAGATTGAATTATAAATTTTAATTTGAGATTAGAATTTAGTTATCCAAAAACCTCTAGAACACAATTATAAGAGACATTCGAAATACTTATTTGGATTTACAGAAAATATCGACTTTTCCAGATTTTTCGAAGATTATCAATTTATAATAAAAAAACGAGCAAAAATATCTGAAAAAAACTTTAAGATCACAAATAAATTTAAATTGTCGTTTTCATATTGATAATAGTTTAGTAAAAAATACTTTTTATTTAAAAAAAAAAAGCACAATTTTTGACTACTTGTTTAGTTATAATAATTACGCAAATAAAAATTTATAATTGTCTACTTTTTTAAAACACTTATTTATGTTCCAGGGACTCTACGAAAACAAAAAAAGCCGGTACTTAACGTCGAAAAACCAGAATAATTAATAACTGAGCGAAAAAAGATGGGACGCTGAGTCCGGTCGTGACGCAAAGAGTTAAATGTCTTCTGAAAATTTGATTTTTCAATTTTCTCAAAATCTAAGCATTACATCGACTTGAAATTTTAAAGCAATGCTGTTTATATTAGGAGTGTGATTTAGTTTTGAGAAGGTTTTTTTTCTCAAAAACTGATTTATTACATAAATATCTTAATCAAAATATTTCCTTACGTTTTCTATGACTTTGTCTGACAAGAGATGGATTCCGCGACGATAAAAAGATTCTTCTTTGGAATTGATCTAATTTTCAACAAATTTTGCATTTCTTCGAAATTATGAAAGTGTATTTCAGCTCTAATAGCGTATTACTTCACTGATAATGCAACATGAGGTCGAAAATGCTCTTAGGAAGCTCCATTTTTAATGATATAAACACGATGTTTACTGCGTCTATTGTTAGAAAAAGACTAAATATGATGGAGTAATATTAAAGTATTAAAAAATAACTGTGATTAGAATGTCTTCGACACTGACATTAGTGTCATACCTTGCAAAACCAAATCACACTCCCAATACATTTGTTCCTCGCAAATAAATTAGAAATAATCCTATGAAAACTTTCCATTCCAAAATATTAATTTTTTTTGGACTGAAAAAAAATCAATTTTTTGTTAATAATGTGCGTTAATTTTATTTGTTTTTTATTGTATTCAATAACTGGAAGTATGTTTTGTGACAAAATTTGCCTTAGATGAAAAGAAGACTAGCTGCAAAACGACGAATGTATTTACGAAATGGACTATACTTTCGCTGTGTCTATGTTTCATATACTTATATCCATAATTCTACAGCAAAAAAATGTTTCTCTACTCTTCATAAAAAAAGGCAAAAATAAGCATAAAAATAAGCAGGCAATTTGACCTTCCAGTCCCCTTAATGGCATTCGCGATCGAGCCGGATTTGACTTGTCCAAAATCGCAAAATACAATAATATCGACCCTTTCACATCTTCGTATATACATTAAGCTAACTGTTGCGTCAGAATCACGTGCTTACGATGAAAAATATTGAAAGTGCGTTGTTATACACTTGTATGTAACGTACATATCTATAAGTATTGCCCAAAATATGTATTTCGTATATGTATAATATATATATTTATATATATATATATATGTATGTAAAAGGATTGTTAAGTTGATATGTCATCGAAGTAATATACTATGAGTATCACAGTGTTGTGATTGAGAGAATAATCGCAACAGCTTTAATTTCCTCTTTTTCTTTCTTTCTCTCTTTCTCTCTCTCTCTCCTCGTTCTCCGCCTTTGTTCTCGATTTTTCCGAACTATCGAGTTTTATTTATTGAAATTTTGTTTTCGCCACATGACAAACATCGTTCGAAATAGCTGGAAGGAGAGTAATTGTCCGAGAATTTAACCCTCCCGATTTACAAGCTTCTCACTCGCAATATGTATGTTACATTTTTTTTTCTCGTACCCGTAAAAAAATGTTTTCCTCTCAGAAAACTAGAAATTCGTCTGTCAAGTTATTTTTTATGCTGTTCGTATTTTTTCCCCCCTTAAAAGCTTCCATATAAACATATGGCTTTCACATGTTTCGAAGACACCAATCAATGTTTTTGGTCCCTGCGTATACATTTAAAGCACATGTATACATTACGAGCGCGTTCTCTTGGCGTGCGAAATGTTTGAGAGAATATTTAATTCGCACGCAGGACAAACCCCCGAATCTATTAAAAAGTACACATCTATCGTAAATCTCTCTCTTCCTCTGTATTAAACGCGCCGCGCTATTACCGGAGTACGACAACAAGTTTAATCACAATCCTTAGGAATTAGCGTTAATAATTCTTTAGTTTTTGGTCTCGCTTCTAACTTACGATCTAGATATTGTCTCGTTGAAAACAAAATTTCGCGTGTAACCAACAAGCTCGTTCTTTTTTTTTTCTTTCTTACATTTCTCTGTGTATCCCCCTTTGTTCTCACTCTTTTCCGCGTGATACGCGACAGATACAATTCCAAGTCGTCGAATTGTTCGCGTAGATGATTATTATATTTGTATTATCACAAGTGCACCGAACTGCATTTAATTGCATCGTAAGATGATTTTGTAATAAAAAGCTGATTTCTTGTAATATCAAAGGTAAAGTAATTTTCGAGCAAAGAGGAAAATGGTCTCCCCTCTCGCTCGTCGTATCGTCATAGGTACCGATATTTACGCGAATACGATTTTACGTACACGGAAGAAAAATAATGTTGCACCAATAGCATTAGCTAACAGCAATCTAATTGAGCATAATCTAAATTCGATAATAGTATTAATAGAACAATTTCTTAAGAAAGTCGTCTCGTGTCCAGCAGTGAACGAAAAAGAGCTGCTCGATGATGATGATGATGACTGGTTTTGGTTATTGAATTAACAAGATTATTTTCTCAATTGGACTCTCGCAGTTAGCTAAAACGCTGTTAACTTTCATTATTTTTTTTTCTCCCGTGCACTACTTATTTTACCGCATAAAAAGACACGTCCAAACTGTTGTATCCCCAAAGCGCGTCTACCAAATTACGAAGAAATCAAGATTCAGGTACAGATACAGTTAACTCATACGTACTAAACGAGCGTTAAAATTAATTACATCGATTTAAAAGATACCCCTTAAATCAAATATATCTCTCGGTAGAAAAGTCGTATTTACAAATAATATTATTAGAACGTACAAAGATATATGTAACCGCTTTTTCGGATAACACCCGTGGACCTCCCGCGATCCACGATGCACTTTCAAAAGTACATGCTGTGTATGTGTGACTCGCGAACTCGTGTTAACCGCATCGTGTTAAAACGCCTATATATAAGCTCGTGTAAGAAGTAGCTCGCTTAAAAAATAGAAATGGTATAAATTCGCAAAAACTCCGATCTTAAGACGATAAGAAAAGATCGATCGCGCGTATCCGGTTACGATCGAATCGCGATTGTCAGTTTCTCAACTCTCGCCGACTATGTTTGGCTGGTTATACGTAGATACTACGGTTCGACGCTAGTATTTACAATTCGGTAAAAACGGAGTATTGCTCGTGTCAATTCCATTCTTTTTCTCATTGACATTTTCCTCTCTTTCGCCTCAATTCCCTAACTCAATAATTTCTTAACCCCTCAAACCTGTTTTAATACATCAAGTGTGCAAGATAAAATATTTCTCTCAATAATTACACAGTTAAAAAAAAAAGATAATATAAAATAATACATTAAATTTGAATTGTACAAACTAAGAATTAGTAAATATGTAAACTTGCGCAAATAAATTATATACAAGTAGCCTTCTTTCTCTTATATATAAAATATAAATGTGTGAGTGTGTGTGTGTGTGTATGTGTATGATGTGTAATATTACGTTATATAATATAATTTAATGTTATGAATATATATACAACGTAATATTGATATATTTTATGCACAATTTCACTACTTAAAATAATCGACTTCCAATCAATTTTAATCTGTACATCAGTTTGATCTGAGGGGTTAATTAGCAATTTGACAGCCGTCAAAACGGCCTCAACTTATTTTCTAATCAATTTCTAGTCACTTCATCAATATTAATCCACCAATTTTGTAACGGGCCATAATACGACGAGTATTTTTTTTTCATAATAATTTATGGTCTCGTACGAATTATTGATCTTATCAATTTTAGCTGCATTTTCCCGTTGCATCGCTTGATTTTATACGCGATCGGAGATCAAAGCAAACTTGACTACACGAAATGTTTGCTCTATTTTTTTCACCCATCAACAATGAGCAAGTAGATACTTGAAAGAGCCAGCACAAATTTCATGGCTTTTTCACTTGCAATATTCGCACAAGCAAATTGACTATTGAACACGAATTGTATGCTCTATTTTTTTTCTATTTTGTCATCAGCAATGAGCAAGTGAATACTTGAAATAGCCAGTATTAATTTTATGGTATTTCAATACTTTTCACTTGCAATATTCTTCAAGAAGGTAAAATTCCAAAAAAGAACACGAGAAAGATAATCATTCAAAAATAAATTCAGTTTGTAGCTTTTATAGATTTCTATAGATTAGTCAATAGAGATTTACGGTGATCACAAAGATGAGCTATATATTGACATACTGATGCGGAAATAAAAGCGAAAATAACTTCGTATAAGCTAAAAGTTTGCAAAATAATTCAGCTTTCGAATGATAAGTGAAAAAAAACCGCGACGGAAACTGAAATACTTGTACGTACCTGTTTCACACTGTGATAACTCAACGAGTTAAATGCGCTAAAACAAAATGTGGTTCGCAAAAATTCGTCTTATCACAACCAAATTGAGCGATTCCTTCGTCAAGCAAAAGAAAAAAAAAAAAAAAAGAAATCTGCGGAGCGTGTCGTATCCTTCTTCCGAAATCAAGAGACCATAAATAAAAGAACTTTTGCAAAAGAAGATTTTGCACAATTTTCGCATATATGCACGACGTAAGGGCCCCCTGGTGGAATTTAGATTGATTTCCACTGCGGCTTGTGGGGACCCCCCCTTTTGTGTCAGGGACCCCCTCTAGGAATCCACAGCGCTTTGCTCTGTTCCTCATCTAGCGAGGCTTTCACCTGTGTGCATATATATGCCACATTCACGCCCGCCGGAATCACGGCTGAAATATATTATTGGAGCATAAGTAAATATATTCGCATGTCACAAAACGTATACGTTATCACATTACGGCGTTAGAATAAATATAATTTCATTTCAATTGATTCACGGCATAAATTAATAAATTTTTTTTATCTTTTGCTGTGACAAACTAACGTATATATTCCAAATCAAAGTAGGAAAGAAAATATTGTGAATCGATATTATGAAACGTTGAGCTAATTTGCTACAGTATACGTCATTGAAATAACAGCAAGCACGTACAAAGATGCGTACATTTTTTTTACGTACGCGAATAAAATTAGAAACACGATTTGCTTACCGGAGATATATTGCTTGTATTCCGCCTCTATCTTGAGCGCTTGCTCAAACATCTCTTTCGCAGCCTTCGTGCTGACTTTGTCGCTCGGATATCTGGAGTCCTTTACCTCTTTGATTTGCGTCCTATCTTTGAATTTGATTAATAGGACGATAGGGTAAATTTGATGTCTATGAAGCCTCTCGATGGCAGCCATCGATACATCCAAAATACAGTGCATATTCTACAATGGATACAACCATAAATAAATATACCAGTTAATATTACCGAATAAGTATCAATCGGTTACTTTTCTCATTACCATCATACAATATTATTCACATGGCAATATATTACCATAATTTTTACTTGAAATTATATCATTCTTAAAAATATGCTAGCATTACCTTATCGCATAGCTCTTTAACGGCCTGCACTGTCGTGCATTCAAAATAGTTGCCCTTCTTCTTGTAATCCACGTAGAGCGCATCGCGTAATCCCTGTTCCAAAGTTGACTGCGAACAATGCATCGCCTCTGCCAGACACCTGGTGAACTGTCCCGGGTAGTCCTGTAAAAGTTTCGTTACCACACTTTCGCTGAGCGGACCGATGATCAGCACGGGTCTCAGAGTAGGATCTGTTATCGGAAATAAACAAAATTATCATTATACTTATCCAACGTGTAAAGATGCATTGTAAATAGCATTGAAGAGCTATCATTTTAATTAACATTAACCCTTAAGACTCTTGTCAAGTTAAATTCGACATAAAATTCTTACATTGTATGCATTTTCTCCTGTATTTTTAAAATTAAGTTATTTTGTATTTTATTATTCATATCAAATTTTGCTTTGCGTAGTTTTGTTAAATATTTAAAAAATTTTTGGTTTTCAAACTTAACATAAAAGGAAATTATTTCCTCTCCTGTAAAAGACAATCTGAACTTTATCCAAACAAAAATGCTTTAAACAATATCATGTATTAAAATTTAAAACAAAATAAAAAATAAAATATTTTTATAGGCATGTATTAATATTAATATTACAGGGTGGGTACTTAAATTTTGCAACAGAATTCCTTGAAAATTCTCGGATTTTCCAGGAATTTTATTCAAAATTCCAGGTAAAATCAGAGAATTTCTCAATACAGTTTTAAAATAAATTAGGCACTAAGAGTTTTAATAACGTATAGAACTTTATGCGTGAAACAATTTAATCTTCTCATATGTACAATAGTTACATCTCCATACAAAATTTTTCGAACGTAATGAAAGATTTTGTACGGAGATGTAACTACATATGTAAAAATTTTTCGAACGTAATGAAAGATTTTGTACGGAGATGTAACTACATATGTAAAAATTAAATTGTTTCACGCACCAAGTTCTGCGTTATTAGACTCTTAATGCCAGATTTATTATTTCCGGGTTATCGTTTTTTAGATTAAAGAGTCTTTACATAGTATGTCAATTTTAAAATAAAATAATTAACTTTCAATATCAGGGGCCTCCGATTTGGGGCCACATTTACTTTCTAAAGAGAAAAAATTAAATTTTAAAAATTCAAAAAATTTCCCTGAGTATCAGTAAAATTCCACGAGAATCCATGATTTTCAAGGGTAAAAATGAAATCCTGAGAATTCCAGGTTTTCCTGGTTTTTCTCAGTAATATTCATCCTGTTATACTAATAAATTATATCCAATATTTCGTTTTTATTAAAAAGAAATATTAAAAATTTTTATAGTCCTTTTATTTCTATTTGAAGTTGGCAAAGTTAAATTATTAGTTTTAAAATGTTAAATTTGTCAGGAAACACAAAGGATTGAGATAAGAATAGTTGGTAATACGTACAATCGAATCTCTCGACGCGCTGGTAACTCGCAGGAAGGGTATCCTCGTTTAACGTTCCACTGTCGCTGTACCATCCCAAATTGACTCCCGTCAGATGTGATATTTCCTTAGTGCTATCTCTACTGCTGGATGACCGTTGCTGCTGTTTTTTCCGACGGAAGAAACTTCTTCTCGCCCTTGTATCGCTGCGTTTGCCAGTGTCTTGTTCCAAGTCGCCTAGAGACCGTCGTAGGAGCAATTCTTCTTCAACCCTGAAGATAAGTCACGTATACCAACAGTTACGAATTATTTGGACTAAAATATTGCTTTATCAATCGTATTTTTTCTCCGTTAAAAAAAAAATATTCCATCATTCAATAAAACGCAAAAATGTAACTTACTTAAATTTGCTGGGAATTATCCCGCAAGTCTGCCTACGACCGGTCTGATCGACTATCCAGGCGCGCCAGTGGCCCGGCGTGCCGTTGAACATGGTATTGTCCACGTATAGGATGTCGTCCTTGCTGAATCGCAGCTGCAAGCTGTCGCCTACCTCGCTGGTCCTGTCAAACAGCGCCTTCACGTAGAAGCTGTCGCCCGGTTTGTCCTTCACCTCGTTATATCGCTCCGGCATGTACTGAGCGACCAGCGTCACCTTGTCCGCCGGCCGAGCGAGCTCGAGCGCGGCTTGCTCGGCGGTCGCCTGCCTCAGGTCCACGCCGTTGTACTCCAGAATCCTATCCCCGGCGAACAGACCGGCATCCTCGGCGAGACAGCCGTGCTGAACGGAATGCACGAAGATACCGACACCGTTCCCGCCCACCAGCGATATGCCGAGGTTCGAGCATTTCCTGGTCTCGATCAGCAGATACCGGGGCTCGCCGGTCGGCGGCGGTTTTCGGTTCTGCTCCTCCTGCGTCGGGCTCCTCATCGCGTTCTGCCGCATCATCTGCGCGCGACTCAACCGATCGAGCGTGGCGGCGCTGCGTAGCTCCGGCTTGCGGATGTTGATGTCCAACGACGCGGACGGCCTCATCTCGCGCCCCTCCCGCTCCTGCGTGCTTCTCACCTCCAGCGAGGCAGACGGCCGCAGGTGCTCGACGCGCAGCGTGCTCATGGTCGGCACGGCGGTGGTGGTGACGGTGGGGGCGGTGGTGGCGATAGTGATGGTGGCGTCCCGCTCAGGTTCGGCGGGCTCCAGCGTCTCCACTGCGCTTTTACGCGGTGCCTCCGGGCTGTTGCACGGCGTCGGCGAACCGCTGCGACTTCCGGTCGCCGCACCGTCGCCGGCTTCCGACGAACTCGAGGACGCTGAGCCTTCTAACTCGGTGTATTCTTGCAAAGAAAAACGCAAGTTTTTTTTCTTTTAAATTTATTCCAATGCTCAATGCTCATGGAAACAAAATATCCTGAAAAGTCACGGTGAAAAGTTTTGCAGACTCTCTCTATTGTCGAGAGACAATCGATCGGGGAAGAGGATTGAGACAGAAGACGGAGAAAGAGCGCGTAAAATCATGCCGTTTGAACAAAAAAAAGGAGAAAAACATGCTGCAGATTATCAAAAGTGCGTTTTCAAGGACTGCATTTTTTTTTTGGTGCAAAAATACTCTACTCACTGTCCGGGCTGTACTGCACCAGCATTGTAATCGAGTTACCACACTGACGTAGAACATTGGCGGCCAGCTGGTAGGTCGCGCTCCGCATATTTATACCGCAAACTTCCAGCAACTGGTCGCCGATCTGTAGGCCGACCTGCGACGCCAGACTGTGCTCGTACACGGTGGAGACAAACACGCCGCCGCTCTCCAGGCACGAGATCTGGATTCCCAACGGCTCCACGGACTTGTCTATGTGGACTCTGCGCAGCTCCCCGGGCGCCGGTCGTGGCTGGGAGTAACAATAATCCGGCATGCTGGCGCGCTTGTTGCTGCCGCCGCCGCCGCCGCTGCTGCTTCCTCTGACGGTGCCGCCGCTGCTGCTGCCGATCCCGCTGGTGCTACCGGTGCCCGGGCTCAACACCTCCACGTGGAACGTCGGCATCGGGCTGCCGCGCTCGGACGTTCTCTCGATGCTGCCGGTGGACAGTTTGCCGACGCTGCTCTTGGACGTGACGCTGGTGTTGGACGGTATACGGATGCGCTGGTCCTCCTTACGGCCCGGCAACGTGCCGCCCTCGTATCCGTGCCCGTAGATGGACGTGTCGCAGGGTATACCGAGCGGTAGCGCTCGTGGCTTGTGATAGTGCAGATCTACGGAGGGCGTGTGCAGGTGGCCGAAAGTGGTTGGATTCGCCTGCGAGGGCCCGGGGCTGTACGGGGGCTCGAAACAGTAGGTACGTGCGTCAGGCAGGCCGATGGACTCGCCCGATTGCGCGGACGGCAGCGACGGCGGCGAGGGATAGCGCGAGGGCAGGGAGTTCTGGTGGTGTTGCGTGGTGGGATGCGGATGCAGATGGTGCAGGTGCGACGACGTGATGGCGTACGGGTGATGCGGGGAAAAGGGAAAGTTACCGGGTGCCATCTGCTGTCGCGACGTCGGCCCGCTGGTGGTCGACGCGGCGGACGTGGACGAGCCGCCGATGCCCGACGAGTAGAGCTGCGAGTGCACGCGGTTGTGCTGCAGCGTGTCGGTGGTCACCTGCGTGTCGCTACTGCTGCCGGTCGTGTACTTTTGCGGCCGTTTGTTCGCAAAGTACGAGTCGACGTCGCGGCCGGCGCCGCCGGACGACTTGACCGAGAAGTCGATGCTGGTCTCGGACGGCGCCAGCCCGGAGCCGAGCCGCCCGGTCTCCGACGCGCTGCTCTCGAACTCCGTCGACGGTGGCTTCTTGCTGCCGCCGTCGATCGGTATGTCCTTGAACTGCACCGCCGGCGTGAACGACGGCTTCTGGCTAAAGAGCTGTCCGGTCTTGAAGCTCGGTAACGGGGTCTCCACTGCTTTGTAAACGGTATGACGATTATTGACATTGGAAAAGTTGGTCAGGGGGATGGGGTTGGAGATACGGTTGTAATTGGTATAGCTATCGTATTTTGGTGGATGCAGGAGTACACTTAGGGGGAAGCGTTCTTTCGATTTGCGCGGGTGCAGTATAGTACCGGTCCCATTTTGTATGAGGGGTCCGACGCGCGCCTTCGGCCACGTGCCGCCGTTCTTCTCGATCTTCTCGGCGCCGCGGCGCTTGCTGCGCTTCAGCACGCCGTTGTTGCTGTTGCTCGCCTTCTTGTGGTAGCTGTCGATCACCGAGTCCAGCTCCGCTATCGCGTCCTGCTCCTGCTCGAACGTGTTCGGACTAGAATTGCGATGGCCCTTCTTCTTGCTCTCGTCGCGCTCCTTGCTGTGCTTGCGGCCGCGCACTATGTCGATCTTTTCGCGAAAGTTGTCCCAGGCGTTGCTGATCCCGCTCGATTTCTCGCCGCTCACAGATTTCGCGGCCTTGTAGACGTTGCGGTCGGCAAAGTTCGTCGACAGATACCGCCTCTCGTAGTCGTCCGACGAGGCTTTCAGCATCATTCTCTCCTGCTCGGTTTGCGAGCAGCTGTTTACCATCTTTTGCTTCTCCGCCACGAAACTGCCGTCTATCGTCTCCGAGCTGGCGGCGGAGGGCACCGGAATACCTTTCAACGTCGTGATGGTCAGCACGTCCACAGTGTCGTCGTTTAGAATGGACATCGCTTCATGCACCGTAGTTATGGTGTCCATGGGTTTACTATTAATCTGAAAATTAATATAGAAAATTAATGTGAATATATTTTTAGCTTAAAAATTTAAAACATCGATATGGTATGGGATATATATTTTTTGCATATTACAATTACTTATTAACATGCAAGATTATAAATTATAAATGAGCTGTCGAAATCTGTACGGAAAGAACAATTTTGCTGAAAATAATTTTGTGCGAAAGTCAAAATGATTGCTAGAATATCAAAATGTTTTATCGCAATGCTCATCAGTTTTAACATTCCAACAAATTATTTTGATAATTCAACAAAAAATTATCTTCAGATCTGTATTTAGCAGAATTTTTAGACCTTTCAACAAAATCGTTCTTTCCGTGTATACAAATTATAAATAATAAAAGTAGTTTCTCATGTAACTTACGTTTAACACTCTGTCTCCCACGGCAAGATTTCCATCCTTGGCGGCCAAGCTGCCGGGCGATATTTTCGAAATGTAGATTCCAAGCTCCAGAGTAATGCCGTGCGGCACTGTGCCGACCGACAGCTGCGTAGTTCTCAATGACCGTCTAGTTATCCGACGGCGCTTCACAATCAGCGTCGCCGGATTCACGGTGGACGAGCGCAGAGTCTCCAGGATCACGCGGGTCGACACGGACGTGCAGTCGACGTTGTTCACACGCACGATGCAATCGTTCACCCGTAGCTTGCCGTCGAGGGCGCTGCCCTGCGTCACCTGCGCGACGTAGACGCCGGTGTCGTTCGGATAGTACGGACTGTCGCGTCCGCCGACGAGGATCAGCCCCAGGTCGCCGCGATCCGAGTCCAGGCAGATTCTACCGGGCTCAACGTGAATCGGGATCATCTCCCAGTCGTTGCTGTCGTCAATCAGCTGATTGGTGCGCAGCGCGTGATCGCCGAACTCGATCTTCTCCTTCAGATCCTTCAGCTCTTTCGACGCTTCGTTCCGCTGCTTCTTGATGTCGTCGGAGTCGCGCAGGGCGCCGGCCAATTCGGAGACCGCGCGATCGCGCTCCTTCCGCAATCGGTCGCACAGAGTCCTTATGCTCTCCCGCTCCAGCACTATCTTGTCGCGCTCGCTGAAGGCCCAGTCTCGCCGCCTCTTCGACACCTCGGCCTCCTGAATGGCCTCCTCGAGCTCCGCTTGCAGCGTGTCCACGGACTTCCTGAGTTTATCCAGCTCCAAATTGGCCTGCTCCAAGTTGTCCATGCGCTGCTTGTCTCGCGTCGCGTAATCCCTCGTGTTGGTCTCCTTCTCGGCCTCCTTGCTGACACTGTCGCGTTCGTGACTGAGCGAATTCAGTTCCAAACGATGCTTGTAGTCCCGGCTAGAGCCCTCGGAGTAATCGCCGAATTTCTGCCGTAACTCGTTACACACCTTCAGGGCGTCGTCTCGGTCTTGCAAAGCGGAAGAGATCTCCCGCTTCAGCGTCTCGATTTGATAAGACAATGTTTTCTTCTGCAAATAAACGGCATTCGATGTAACAAATCGTAGTCAGCGTCACAACATACCGTTTATTTCGATAAAACTGTATAAAAATCTGTATAACATCAATGAATTTCGAATTCGCCTTCAGCGAGAACGAGATTCGTCAGCTTTTTAAAAATAAACACGTGTGGTACGCGCAACAGTTAATAATCGTTCTCTTTAATCCTGACGCTTCTCTTTTTACCCTACGTTAAGCCGCAACTTATATACAGCGTATCGACAGCGACATACACGACCGGCAACAAAAGCGTACTGATAATCGAGCAAACTGACAGGTGCAAACTGAAAGTTTCCAACTTGTATAACAATTTATTTCAGGACCTCGTTTTCGCAATCGTCCGTGTGTCACGAAGTGACACTGAGCTTTAACGGCGGATCGGAAGTGTGTCACTGTCGATCTCGCTGAAATGTCAACGGTACGAATTTTTGGGAATTTATCACGATCGAAGGTAAGATCGTAGCAGCAATAGAAATACATTCTACCGAGAAGAGAAATAACTCTCTAAATTTTTTGGAGTGAAATCTCACTCCGAAGAGTGAAAATACTGCCACTTGAGTGGCCGAGTGGCAGTATTTTCACTGCAGAAAATTTACGATTTGTATTTGATTTACTGGTATTTCATCACCTCGTCAACGAGCTGCTTATTCTGCGTTTCCAGATGCGTGACTTTCGTATACGCCTGCGTGAGGTCGTCGCCCAGCTTCTCGATCTCCTTGTGCACCGTGTCGCGCTCCCCCATGATTAAGCTGTACTCCTGCAGGGCGGCGTTTCGCTCCTCGGTGAGACGTTTCATATCCTTGCTGGCCTTCATGCGCAGCATCATCGCCTGATTGATCTCCTTGACCGCCTCCTCGTGCTGCTGCTGCACCTTGGCGAGCGCCTCGCGATACTCGTTCCTCTCCCTCAGCGCGATGTCCCACTGGCGAATCGCGGCGGTGCACTGCTGCTTGAGACCGTTGCGCTCGCGAAACGCGCCGTTGCGCTCCTCCAGAACGGTGTCGTACTGCTTCTTCAATCTCTTAGCTTCCTCTTGCGACAACTCTAGCTGTATTGATTGACACGGACGTGCAATTTTGTATTGAAGTTTCTCATTGGGCGTGAAAAATCTATGCGCGACAACGTTGCGTACAGGAATAAACACGCTTATCGATGATATATATACTTGCCTTATTAACGGCGGATGAATGAGACGCTATCAGGTCGTCGTATCGCTTCCTAAGGGAATCGTATTCGTCCTTGACAGCCTCGTATTTTCGTAGCGCAGATAGATAATGCTGATTCATAGCATCGTTGCCCGTGGCCTCGGGGACGAGAACCTCTTGGTTCTGCATTCGCTGCAATTCCGAAAGTTCCTTCTGAAGTGACTGGACCTCCCGGTCCAATCGTTGCTTGTCGTTCGCCAGTTCGCCATATTTCGCTCGCAGTGAAGAGCTCTCTTGCGATGTGGCCTCCAGTTGATTCATGACTGCTATATGTTGCCCCCGATAGTACTCCAATTCTTTCATAGTAATCTCACACCTGCGTTTAAGGAGAGACTGCTTTTTACATCGCAGTTGATTTGAAATTAGTCTGAAAGTGAAGCTTTAAGCGTGAGAGGAAAAAAAAGTGAGATATGTACAGGATTGAAAAACGACTGTTAGAATAAAAGAAAATGACGAGAAAAGGAGAGAGAGAAAGGGACAGTGAAAGACCGAATAGCAAGACCAAGGGATCAAACAAAATCGAAACAAACCGTCTTATGGTATCGGAGTGCTTATGCCTAAGTAGCTGAAGCTGATGCATCGCCTGATCACATTGAGCCTGCAAACCATCATAGTCGCTACGACACTCGGGGCCGCCGACTGGGCTTCCAACACTGCCATAGCTCCCGCTATCCCCCTCTGGTTTTACGCCACAGACAAGTGTCAATTCCAACAGCAAACACATCAAAGAAATAATCGATGTAACCCAATATAAAATGTGTAATGTGAACAAAAAAATGAAACGCGCGTTTGATTTTACTAACTTAACTTGTGTGACAGGTATACAAACCAATAATAATAACAAGTACGGGAAACATTTCAAAAGGAAAAAAAATATGTTGCATACTACATATTGGTGCATATACCACGATTTATAATCGGTTCTCAAGCATTATCACAAATACTAAATGCGACAACAAGTATCACATAGAGAATCTATTGAAAATGTGACGTACATGGACGGGATCTATGTATATATATATATATGCACATGTATTTTTGTAACACTTGTTTAAAAATATCTCTTACCCATGTTAAGTGCACCATCTGGAAAATTAATTATAAACACCTGTATTACTTCAAGATGTAAATACTAATCGCGTATAAAGAGATGGAGAAGAGCGCGAATGGAAAAAGGGGGGACGAAAGAATTCAGTGCGAAAAAGAGTAAAATTAAACTCGAATATTATCCTCGAATAGAGCGCGTTAAATTTAACGATGAAAATTTAAAAAGTCCGATACAGCTTGTTACAGTAGAGGGAACAACATAATCAGTGGCCTCCGTCAGCTTTCACCAGGAAAGAAACTCTAGGTCACGCATGTAAGCATAGTGTGATTCATTGTTTTCCACGGCTAACAAAAAAGAAAAAAATCATCGGCGATATTTCATTTATTACAAACAATATGACACGACACTCGCGTCGCGTTTCCTTTCAAACCCACGTACAGCCGCCGCCGCAGTATTTCATTTATCGGGAACAAACGCTACTTTTCTTGATGATAAAAATTGTCTTACGAAATTGCGAAATCGTATAAGTAGAATCTTGCACATCGCGAAAGTAAATAAAAATCATAATCAAGTATATTGAATGATGCAATATAGTTACGAGCTCTGCAGCCAATATTTTAGAGGCCTATCCCATCAAACGCAGATTGCAACAGCAATGTTGCAGCAATATTGTAACAAGAATGTTACAATATTGCTGCAACAATATAGCTTTCTAGCGATATTTTAGAGGCCTATCCCATCAAACGCAGATTGCAACAGCAATGTTGCTGCAATATTGTAACAAGAATGTTACAATATTGCTGCAACAATATAGCTTTCTAGCGATATTTTAGAGGCCTATCCCATCAAACGCAGATTGCAACAGCAATGTTGCAGCAATATTGTAACATTCTTGTTACAATATTACTGCAACATTGCTGTTGCAATCTGTATTTGATGGGATATGCATCTAAAATATCTAGAAAGCTATGTTACAAAAATGTTACAACGTTGCCGCAATATTGCAATCTGTGTTCGGTGGGATAGATACATTTCAAGTCGAGGGAACTTCTCGAAACGCCGTGGAGTTAAATTCTTTGATAAAAATATTTCTGCAGCGGCGGCGAGTCGTGGACGATGCCGAGGACGACGACGCGTCGTCCTGACGTCGCAATTAAAAATACAATGACGGCGCTGACGTTAGCCGCGTATATGCACGTTATCGAGCGAGCGGCCGCGTACACTTGCCGCACAAAAAGGAGGATTGAAAATAAAAACTGTCACTCACCGCTGCTCCCAGCACTGTCCAAGGAGGATGCACCAGAAGCCATGCTCTACTCTCAGTGGTGGGTCTCAGGGCGCCGCAAGAAGAAAAGAGAGAGAGCACGCGTGCGTGCGTATGTGTGTGTGTGCGTGCGCGACGCGGCGGACTGGTCGTCGTCTACCAACACGGGCGCATGCCGTCCTCGCGCGCCAGCAGTAGCGTAGTCCGTATAAACGACAGGTATCGCCTGGAAAAGCGTGCCGTATACTCTTCACGGAAGAGCGAACCCTTTGTAAAATTACCAAGAAGCAGCCTTCGGGATGACATTATGGCCAATGCACGATGGTCGTGCGTGTGTGTGTGTATGTGTGTGTGTGTGTGCTACGTGTGAGCGCGAGTGTATGTATGTGTGTCTCGTGTCACGCTGCAACGCTGTGTTGTATATCGGGGCCGCGTATTTTATCGGAAAAAGATACCACCAGAAGAGGAGACAGATATTGCACCTGACGATGCGCGCGCGCGCGCGCGCGCC